CTCATCCCGATATTTTACGCTGTCTGTACCATCTTATCGTCGACATACTTTACTGAACCATGGGACTTCCACTTCGAAGCAAAAAATTTCTTTTCAGAAATGAGTCCGGACACATGGTCCGGCCTACATCGACTGTTTGCTGGAGACAGCGAGTTGGAACGAAGAAAAAGTGAGTGTCTGTCGGAAATTCTCCATTTAGTTGTGACGAATGCTGAAGTTATTCATTAAGGATTGCTGTCTGACAGCATACAGCGAAGGGTCAAATCGGCTAACATGGTACCTGCCGAGAATGACTGCTCTTCCAGATGGTAGCTCGAAATTTCCGCGAATTCAATACGAAGTTCTTAGTAGGTACGGGTAAGTTATGGCTTCTTACAGTAAAGGATAACACATGAAGTGGTGATTGTGGACCAGTCCCTTCGGGATGCGCCATGCACAAGAGTCGTAGTCTGCACGACAGAATCGCACTTGAGTGTGTCCCCGGTCGATATCCTTTATTTTTGAGTTAATACAAGGTATGGTTCTGACTGTGCTTTTATATTTTCAATTACTCTGTCCTAAGTGTGGAATCGAGTCGAGGGTGGGGTATGTGGCAAGAAAATCGTACTTCGCTGATAAGCGTCGCGTGCGACGTTGCGCCCGCAAATGACGATGGTTCCAGGTCGTAGATGGCGACAACAGGCAATGTAGAGCAGTTCACATCATTGGTTGGGGATTTTGGGTAGAGACTGTACACCCCCCCCCTTTATTTTTTAGGGGGTTGGTGCAACCCTCTCCTCGGGAGTGGCTTGATACGAGTAACCCTCTTAATACGACTCACCTCTTAAAGAATCCTCAACAACGATTGTGATGTAATGCCAAAAATACTCATAAATGTCCACAGTCTGTCTTAAGTTTGTTGTCCGCAATTCTCGTATACTGTATACCTCCGCTATTCTCAACGGTACTATTAAGTTATTCCTATTCCGGTCTTTCGAAATCAGACCGATTCCTTTACCGACCTAATTCTGGGCAGATTTGACTGAAAATTTGCTCACTAGGATTGCTCAGGGGCCTGACCACCAATATCAAATCCGCTTAGTCCGAAACTGCCTGGAGGCCGCGCCACAGGCGCTGGCGCTAGATTATACTAATTCACCAGTTCGCTGAAAACTTGTCTCTGGGGGTAGTTTGACCTCCTGAACACGTATATCACATTCGCATGGGCCAAAACCGCCTGGCGCCCGCTCCACCGGCGCCGGCGCCAAAACCCCTAAATCATCAAAGTCGATGAAAACTGATATACGGGAGTTATTTGACATCCTGATTACTAATATAACATTTTTTCCTGGCGCGGCGCTAATGTAGGACACTATGATCATCTGCGCTCTGCTGAGGCTGAGCCTGGTCTGAGGGCAACCACTCCGTATCCCAGGTTCGGCCCTAGCAGCTTAATGGGCGCTCCCGGTGTCGAGAAATAAATGCCATATCCGTGATCAAAGCATCAAAGAATCCCATTACGCAAGTTTCTATCAATTTTGAGGAGGAACGGTGTGGCACCATATTGGCGCCTAGGGGCGCCAAATGGAGCCAGGTCAAAAGTAAATGCCACATTCGTAATCAAGATGTCAATTATACCATCTGTATGGGAAGGTGTTCAACAAATAGAAAAGTAAGGTGGCGTTCATGTGGGGCCTATTTAGCCAAATGGCGCCATCACCAAAAATGAATGTCATATTCATGATCAGGATATGGTATAACACCTATAGGCAGAGTTTCAGCAGAATTTCTGTGTTCTGGGGGCAAGATACGATTTAATTTGTGTCTTGGTCTCAGCAATTATTAACCTTGCAAGTAGAAATGGATCAGTACCAGAAAACAAAGGATGGAAGTATAATTTATAGAAATTGAGCAGAGTGATTGTTTGAGAAAAATTAAGGGAGGGTTCTTCCCTGGTTTTCAGTTTGAGGATTTTGGTGCTAATACAGAATTTGTATTTATATGTGGCACTTCTTCGCCCTAGAGTTTTCGAAAAAAAAATCCAATGCAAGTGGCCTTCGGATCTTCTGTATATTCCAGTCCAGCGTCGGCTAGCCAGGAGACTTAATTAATTATTAGAATTTACTTATTCCTACCAATTTCGCTCACATTGACTAATCTGAGAAGAATCAACCTCCTTTCATGAAATTTGGGGCCAAAGAATGAATGCTAAGGAGCCTTCTTGAGCGGTTTCTTATTTTTCTCAAAAGGTTCAGGCAAAAAAGCGAGGAAATTCGTCACGACAGCGTCTTTTGGAGTACTGGGCGGAGCAGATCACTGCCACTGGGCTTCAGTTCGCGTTCAGCAGATCAGATCCACGAGAAGGTCCGCAAAGCTGTGGACAGATGTCGTCGAAGCATAGTAATTGAGAAGGTAAGACAGTTCTGTCTCTATAACTGGAGCGAGCATGAAACTATGACCCTTGACTTTCAGAGAGCAGCCACGAAAGGACTCGCTGGTTCGCACCATAGCGATATTCCCTATTATCTGGAACCACTAAAACAAGTTCTATTGAACGAAGCTGAAGAAGCTGCTATGGCTGCACGCGCAACGATGGTCACAGTTGATGAGGACGATGGACATTGTGATAGCAAAGAAGCTGTCCAGAATGAAATCAGAGCATTGAATGCTCTACGGCCCACATCAACGCCTTCATTTGGCATCCGTTCCTTGAGGATCCCAAGTACACCACTGACAGTGAGCTCTGATGTTCCATCCAGGTCAACTCCTGAAACGGAGAATGGCCCATCGGGTGCACTGACGTCACTTTTTGACGATGCTCCTTCGACGTCGTCCACATCATGTATGGATAGGTGAGTTTTGAATGTTTGGGGTTCATTAGATTTGTTGGTGATTCTGTGGATCGTGGCTTTGCCATACACGAGGTGAATGGGTCCGTTGCTGTAGCCTGTCACATTCTCCGCGAAGAGGTGCACCGGAACGGAACTGGAGGAAAGTGGCGAGGGTCAGTCTCCCGACTCCTCTCACGCTGCCGCACCGCCAGCCACACGCCTAGCCATAGCCAAACGCGCAGCTCGTCTGCTCCCTATCCTTTTTGGTTGCTCCCTACTTCTGGCTAGGTGTTCGTTGCGAGCTTTGGGCATCGACGCAGGTGCTGCACCTTGAGGATAGCGCTGATTCGGGAGATGGCACTCGGGTATCACTTCTTTACATTCCCCTTACCGTGCATTTTCAAGAGGAGAGCGTATCACGCTACTGCAGTTGCGGACCCATTCACCTCGCCTATGGAGACGACCGCCCCTGAATGTGTGTGTCTACAGTGTATCTAGACATGAGGCACGACACTTTGGTACTAGGTATAAAACGGTTCCAGGGGTGCTATAGGGGGAGGGGAGGAAATGGCGAAAAAGGCAAGAAACGGTCAAAAACCTGCAAAAAGCATTTTTTTCCACACGACTGGGAAAGCAATTTTGGACGAGTTCTCCGTTGATGACGTGCCATTAACCACTACGGTATTTACTCAAATATCCATGCAGCATCGCAGCCGCTTCATATCAATCCTTCCGCTCATGTTGTACTTCGCAAATGAAGCGATACGAGCATCAGCATCAGTCGGACATTTGTGGGCGGGCGGGCGTGGTGGGCGTCCGGGTCGGTATGTTGCAGCTTGATAGGGCGCTATGAAGGTACCTTCCTTGGAAAAAGCGCCACGCAGCGTCTGCTCAGAGGCGCCGAAATCTGTCCTGCTAGATTAATCCTGCTCGTCCGGGGGATTATCGTGCCACTTGCCTTGAATGGTATAAATTCAAACGGTCTGATAGTCAGAATGGAAAAAGGTGAGTAGACTTTTCTTCTGTGGTTCTGACTTTATACAAGTGTTTTCAGGGACGAGTTCTTCGACTCGAATATAACGCTGGCGTTGCTACAAGCAGAACTGAGGGCAGTCGAGATGAAGAGGGAGTACTATGCGAAAAAGATGAAACTCGCGGAAGCTCAAATGGAATTGACAGCTCTTCAAATTGAACAGTATCGGTTAAGCATGAAGCATAACGGTTCTAAGGACACAGTAGAATAGTGGATTGAGCTATTTCTTAGGTATCGGACTATTTAAAGGGATTTATGTGGCCGTGTAGGTACAAGTCTGCAAATCTGCGTCGACGATTTTGAACGAAGGAGGGGAAGGAGAGGTGGTTTGGAGAAAACAGCTTTCACATTCCAATTTTTCCTCAAATAACAAGTTTTTACATTCCCTTCGTCCCCTCAAAGAGATGCAGGTTACTCCAGGTGCCGATTTCAATCGGTGACTGACCTCTCAAGGCGCACAGCTCCTATTCAACGGCTCAGTTTCACGGTGATTCAAGTTTGAACAACTTCGTAATAGCAGCATGAACAGGAGGTGCTGCTCATGTCCCATTCCCGAAACAGGTCTAGGAAGAATAGGTTTAGCTGTCTTGCATGCGTAGACTACGCCGTTCTTGGGTGGTTTTCCCCCTGAAACGCCAAAAACTACGTTCAACGGATTCCTGCCAGGTCACATTATTTGCATATTTCTACTGCAGTTCACGATATCTGGAGAGGGCGTGTCCCGGACTCACTTCTCCACAGCTAGAGTGGATTGCTGCAGTTTTGTACGCAGACGCAGACAGCGTGAGTAAACTGATGGCCACCCACCTAGGTGGGCAACTGATCAGAGATACCCAGCTGCCATTGCGCCAACTACTAAATCCGTTCACACGCCCTCTCCAGTTTCCGTGGTAAGGAACTATTAATCATCTTGAGAAGTGTCTTGCACATTGATATGTATCGGCGGCAAATTTGTAACCTAAATCTACCATGACGTTCATAGTTCTATAGGCAATTGGTGTTTCCCGATGCTTCCCACCTGGTTAGTGACATGAGGAGACAATGTGTTTACATTACTATTATGCACATTGTATTATAAATTGCTATATCAGCGAAAATCTAGCAGGAGATCGGGTTTGGGGTAATGGTGAGGGGTTTTAGTCTTAACCTGTGATACGGACGGACATCATTCAGCCCTCAATACGTAATGGAATATACCTGAGATTTTTCTTTCACGCCAGAACTACGGTAACCCTTATCCCGGCCCAAGTTGGCTGGGATAGGGGTCATGAGGTCGGTACGATGACCACGGTGTCGCAAGATTCGTCGCGTGCGCGGTAGTGGCACTAAGGACTAATTGATTTAATGCGAAAATGCTATGGTCGAGTCAAGGAATTAGAAAATGCCGTGCCTTCCCCGTAGAACTGTATTCTGCTTGTCGCAACAATTCGGATCTCCTGACCCGTTCATGTCAAACAGCCGTTCT